TTGCCAGAGAGAATCTTAAGTTAAATAAATGTCTAGTCACTATGTTATACACCTGAAACTAATATATTAGATGTCAACTGTAATTGCAAAATAAAATTTTTTTTATAAAAAGAAAATACCCTGGTAACCAAGGGACCACCTCCTCAGAACAGGAGGATTGAGTCCTGAACCATTACCCAGTTTCTGTATGGGATGCAGGCACTTTTAAGAAGTGTGCTTGCTTTTGAAATATTTAAATATCTTATACTCTGCCAATTAAGAGCTTGACTCTAGACACCAGCCTTAAAGTAATATATTTTAGAACCCATCTAAATACACTGTTATACTCAATATGCCAGACCATTAGCCTCATAAATTTATTTATTAAATGCATTATCATTTAGGCATGTGTAACCACTTGAATAATTCTAATAGTGTATAATTTTAATAGTGTAAATGAAACTATTCTATTGCTTTAATCCAGGGTTTCTCAACGTTGGCACATTTGGGACCAGATAATCCTTTGTGGTGGGGGCTGTCCTGTGTATTATAGTACAATTATGTTTACTAGCATTCCTGTGCTCTACACACCAGATGCCAATAGAACCCCTTCTATACCAGTTGGACAACCAAAGATATCTCCAAATCATACCTAGTTGAACATCACTGTTTTGAATGTAGAGTTCAACTTAGACTTCATTCTATCTTTTTTAGAAATGTATTTTTTTCCAAAGGGTGATGAATCACCACTACTTTTTAGCTTCCCAGCTACACAAAATTAACATGATTTTTGAAAGATTGTTGGTGATGCTAGCAACATAAAATGCTGATTTAAAAGGTACTCAGCTTAATTTGCCTAATCAATTGCAAAGAAAATTATGTATCTAGGCAAGGATTCTGAACACACATTTGCAAGAAATATTTATTTAACCCCAATATTTGAAAAGTAAAAAATAAAGACATTGAAATTTTAAAAAAATAGGTACTCAATTTATATGGCAACATTTCCACTATTATTTACTCTTTAAGTTCTAAGACTTTCTATTTCACCTGCTTTTCAGTAACCATAGTAAGAGGTGATTGGCAGAAAAGAGTGAACAATAAAAAGGTATTGGAGTTTTAAAATACATTCCAGAAAGTTTATCTGTAAAACTAAAACTGTCAACACTTTCTAAAATAAATCTTTTCATTTTAAAACTATTTTATTAGGGCTCCAGTTTCTCATTTACTTAATTAGTTTGGAATTGTATGAAAAATATTAACCTCAAACATTCCACTTTTCAATTGTTTTGGCAATGTTCATGTCTTATATGTTCAAGTACCAAACTTTGATAGGTGTTTTGTCATATACTAAATTAAAATATTCCTCTTATGGTTTAAACATAACATTATAGGTATTTTTCTTTATGTTCTATTATTTTTATTAACTTATTTCTCAAGCCCCAAATTTTCAAAGGGCAGGCAGGAAAAGCCCATGTCGATTCACAGAGATCTTAATTAGGGCAGGATTTTAGAACTGGTATTTTAAACTTGTTGATTTATGCTTAGTGCATTAAAGAGTCACAAAATGTGCCATTCATCCTCAAAGAATAAAGGTGTACATTATATATGTGTGTATGTTAATTATGAACATCCAAATTATGGTTAATTTTCAAAAATAAGTCAATATGTCATTGCTGTGTTGATTGTTAAGTAGACACTAAGGGGACATGAAACTTCTATGTGATAAAAAAGGTATTTAAAGCCCTGGCTGGCGTAGCTCAGTGGATTGAGCGCGGGCTGCGAAACAAAGTGTCGCAGGTTCGATTTCCAGTCAGGGTACATGCCTGGGTTGCCGGCCATGTCCCCAGTGAGAGCCACGTGAGAGACAACCACACATTGATGTTTCTGTCTCTCTCTCTTTCTCCCTCCCTTCCCTTTCTAAAAATAAATAAATAAAATCTTTAAAAAAAAGGCATTTAACTTGGTATCTGAAGTCTTTGCTTGAATCCCACCACAGACTCTTATTGTACGATTTTCGGCCAAGTACTTCTGAGTATTACCTGTAAAATGGGGTAAATACCTGTGTAACCTGATTGTTGTATGGGCAGAATGAAATCATGTTTGTAAAATTTCTCAGCAAACTATGTTTGATATCCAAGTGTTAAGGGCCCAGGCTCTACAGAAACATAGTCTCAGTTTGAACCCTCACTTCACCATTTACCAGACCTAAACATGTGACTGAATCTTCATTCCTCCATCACCTCACCTGTAGTTTGGTAATACTAACATTACTCAGTTCAGACTACTGCTGAGAGGGATGAAAATGAGATAATGCAGATAAAATATTTGGCAGATAATACGTACTCAGTATTTCCAAATATTATTGTTCTATGTTCATTGACATCCTCCAAACCATATTCCTTATCTATTGCTATTTTCACTCTACCCTATAAATTAATGAGTTCTATTCTACAAAGGAGAAACTGATAGCTGATGGGAAACCCTTCTCTATTAAGCAGTTGGCTGTATACCTTATTTCTCAAAAAATGACTATTTTCTCTTTTAAATAATCTTTATTACATTTTTTCCATTATCCTTTTTCTATGAACACAGTGAACATTTTTGAGAACTAAAACTAGAGTAAGTGATGTGATAAGGCACCATCCTTGATTTGTTCATTTGGGTGACTGTACTTCACACACACAAAAAGGTAGAAATTCAACTAACATTTAGTTACGCACGAAACAAATGATATTTACTGAAAAGAGTAAAACTGACATTGGGGCTATCCTGGAAAATGAAGAATGTGAGGTATCTGGACCTGCAGACAAGAAAACCTGAAAGCAGGGAAATAGGGTATTCAGATAAATAAATTTAATTTTTTAAAAATTGGCTAAAACCACCCTGGCTGGCATAGCTCAGTGGATTGAGCGCCGGCTGGGAACCAAAGTGTCCCAGGTTTGATTCCCAGCCAGGGTACATGCCTGGGTTGCGGGCCATAACCCCCAACAACCACACATTGAAGTTTCTCTCTCTCTCTCTCTCTCTCTCTCTGTCTCCTTCCCTTCCCTCTCTAAAAATAAATAAATAAAATCTTTTTAAAAAATTGGCTAAAACCTTAGACAAGTTACAAAACATATTTCCCTTTCCATAATACAAATTTATTTTTTGCCATTTTGCCAGGAGTACTTTGTGCTCCTGGACTTCCAGCATAAATATCTCAAGAACTCAATTCTGCAGAATTAAGTTGGGGGAAGAGGTCACTGGGAATAAGCTGAATGAATAGGGAAGTCATATCAAACATACTTCTCAACAGGTTATAACTTTCTATCACACACATCCCTACCAGCAGGTGCCTAAATCATACAAACCTAGGGTGGGGTGGCTATGGAGGGGATGGTATAAGGTTTGTGTGGTCTAGCTTTCCTGCCACCTTCATCACTACGATTGCACATACTGGGTACAGTAAAAGAGAAATATACCAGTGCATGTAATATTTTTGCATACTATCACCATAACATACATAATTCCTTGCTTCTTGTTAACTTAGTCTTTTTTATTTTTTTGCCTATCAAGCCCACTGCTTTTTTTATTACTCTAAAAGTTCTTGAAATTTCGAAAGATCCTTACTTTTTAAAATCTCTAAAGATAAGGCTGTGTGAAAATTACTGATATCTTTCTTACTGTACTTTTTTGAAGCAATATATAATTTAATATTCCTGTATTTACTGACTCCACATCCATTAGAAAAACTACGTAATCTTTCTAATTCTGTAATTTCCAGAGTATACAAGGGGAAGACTTCACAATTAAATGTTGACAAAACATTTTGTGGACAAAAGAAAGATTCCAATTGCATATATATAATTATCTTACATAGCAATGTGTATCATATTTTAAAAGAAAATCTTTGGTTACATTTTTGCTATTCCTGGAAAGCAACATGTATTTTGAAACTGATTTAAGAGCTACACATGACTTCCAGGCCATATGTTTAATGACTATTCTATATTCAACTCTTGGTTTTTCCTATCAACCCCTATTTTATCTAATGATAACCCTATGTTATCCAGAGAATGTTTCTAACCAATTAAAATAAAAAGGTTTGTATCATTGAAAAAAAATTATCTCACCAAATATAGCAAACATAAAACCCAGTAAAAGAAGAAAAATCACCATGGTTTTTGTGCTGTAATGTTCTACCAAAATATTCTTCCTGGAATCATGTGATTCCATCACTTTTTTTCCTTTGCTTTTCTGGTTTGTTTGCATGTGTGTACATGTGTTCTCCAGTCTCTAGATAAAGAACACAATCTCAAATTAAACTATTTAAGAAATTGGTTACTATCAAACTACTTCCCAGAGGAGTTGAAGGAAAATCAGTGGAGAAAGTGCATGGCAAACTTAAGACACTGTAAAAGTTTAAAGTGGTGCATTGAGAATTTTAATGTTTCTACTACAATTTAGATAAAAATCAGTTTTCCCTCTCTTGTCAACAATTTATCATTACATTCATTATATTTTTATGGATTGATAAACCACATACTATACTAATTAATCTAACTATAATCTTATTTAGATTTAGCATCACATGTTCATGCTGGAAAACTGTAGGTTGTGAGAATATGAATGATTTCTATTTTATTTTTGTTGAGAAAATTTAGTGTAATGGCCAGCCTAGCTTTATAATAAAGGGAAGACTTCAAATATTGACTAACTTCACGTAAGTATACAAAATGGCTTGAGAATAAGAAAAAGAAAAAATACAGCTGTAAGAGAGCCAAGGACAGAAAGATGGGCAAATGGAGAAAAGGTTGGAAGAATAAATTAGAGCTGGGGGAGGGGGTGCTGGGGGTGGATTGAAAGGAGGTGGGTGGGGAAAGGGGTGGAGCTTGGACCATTGACTCAAGGTCTAAGTGGTAGCCCAGGGGTATATAAAAGCTTAGTGCAACCAAGGGGAAGCAGCCTGAAGTCCAGGATTGGCACACAGGCAGAGGCTGGTAGACAGCAGCAGCTGCAATCTCTAAACAAAGACTGAAATGCCTAGAGCAGGAGAGAGTGGGACCAGGTTGCTGCGTCTGTTCTTGTTCCACTTGCTAGGAACTTGGCTTCTACTGAGCCAACTTCCAAGAGAGATCCAAGGCCAGAAAGGGGAAATTTTTATTACGTGCAACCGCGAATTCGTCCGTTTCTTCATCAGTGTCTGCGGCACTCACGTGTGGGCAGAGGAAACGAGGAAGCAGCGTAAACCAAGATCTGAACCATCTGCAGGTGAGAGCTGCTGGTGCCTAAAAGTTTGGGTATTCCCATATAATTTGATTTTCCTAGTAAGGGTCTCACTGGGGATCTCACCAGGAGTAAGGGAAAGCCGTGGGAACAGTCTCATCTGAGGCATTTGGTTCCCTTCACCTCCTGGCCACCAGGGTGACTCCTTCGGGAGATGGAAGAAGCCACAGAAGAGATAATGCTGCCCAAAGACCCATAAGGGGCGGGGAGAACTGGGACCAGACCCAAGAGTCAAGGTCTGGTAGAGCTATTGGCTGGAGCAACTGGCCAGGGCATCTTCAGAGGACAAGGGTAAGTGAGGTATGAGCTGATTATCAAGTGTGTCTGTGGCAGAACTCAGGAGACCTCCCATAAGGTCCTGGAGTGGTAAACATGGAGGGTTTTGGATTTAACGACTCTTCCTTTGCAAAAATAAAAAGCTAGGCCATGGCCCATGCCACCGAAAATCTCCTCTTTTGTTTTAATATTTTTTGGTAAACTTCACCAAAGGGGAGATCCTAGCTTCCTACAGTTTTGAACTGTGTCTTGAAGTTCAATTTTTGAGAGAATGGATTAGAGAGAAAGAAAAGGGCCTGGTCCCCTTCAGAAGAAAATGAAAGGGACTCTTGGTCAAAGGAAGTTTGCTTTTCAGACAAACACTGCTAAACTACTAATTTAGTTGCAGAATCACCTCCCAAAATTCAGGTTTGTGTATTAATGTGCTAGTTGGCCAAGAGATTGAGACACTGGTTTTTGGAGACAGAAAAGTTTCTTCGATTTGGCTGACATGAGAGGATGGGAGAGCAAGATCTCTCAAATCCATCTCTCTCTAAAAGCAAAAGTAGGAAGCTTTTATGTGGCTAGGGAGTAGAGGAGGAAGAATTCCAGGGAACTGAGAGAGAAGTTTGTTGAGAGAAGTTCTTTAATCACAGATGGTGCTTTTTCATATCAGACTCCTGGGCATCAGCAGCTGGTCACAGCTACCTTGAAGACATGTTTTCCTTCAGCAAACAAACTCATAAATTCTCCTAGTGACCCTGAAGCTATCTCATGCTTGACAAAAAGATAGTACATCAGCAACTTATGAATATATTCATGAAAACAAAAGGAATTGAGCAAGAAAAGTGGTTAACATATCAACAAAGGCCTGATTAAGAATTAAATTATTTAATTTCAGCTGCCAAAAATACTAAGGGCATTAAAATTATAAGGGGCCCAGCTACAATTTGGAGTAAATACTCTGTGAAAAAGAAATTATTAAATAGTAGATATATCAGGAAGTCAAAGACTGGCATCGCCTATCTAAGATGTTAGAGCAGTTGAAAATTCTGCCATTTTAACTTTATCTTGAAGCAGTTGTTTTCCACCATGGAACATTTGACAGTTTAAAATAATTAATATACTCCTCAAGGGTTGTTATCATAACTCAGACCTTACTTAACAATGGAAGAAAATTACTCAGGAAAGAAGAATTAACGTGGTCAAACTGACTGTTTTTGATGAACAAGATGTGACTTCAGATATGTCAGGTAGAGTCAAAGGGCTTTGATGAAAGCACTGAAGGGGCATAAAGTGAGGAAACAGATGGTCCAAGTGGAATGAAGCACTACAGCATTAGCAACGTTGTAGAACTTTAAGCTGCCCAACTATAATAAATTGTTTAGATATAAGGATACTTGCTGATTGTTCTGATACTTAATTTTACTGAGACAATGCTTTCTTTTATGTCTATGCAAAATTTTATAGTTTTCCTGATGTTCATTGACATGAATATTTCCCCTTCCCCTTCTCTTTTTAACTTAGAAATCATGACACTTTCCACCACCAGAAATGAAGAAAACTTAAACACAGTAACAGAATTGATTCCTACTTTGCCACAGAAACAGAAGAGAACATTGGATGAGAGGCATCCAGTATTGAAGGAAATACTACAACAGGATGCATCAGAGGATACAAATCTTAACTTTGAAGAACTCAAGGAAAACAGATTCCATACTACTGGAGCAGGAAAAAAAAATCTTTCAGAATTAAAAAATGTACACTTAATTAAACATTTACTTAAAAAGAGGCAAGCCCCTTACCTACTATCTACCAAGTGTTGTTCTGTAGGCTGTACCAAGAGAGAGGTGGCCCATTTCTGCTGAGATGAAGCTAATTGTATATTTCATCCTATGTGCACATGTATTCTCAATGGCACATTCACAGATGCCTTCGTCACCCCACTGATCATTAGAATATGAAAAATCATAATTAGTGTTTGGCTTTTTAATTTTGTGAGAAGGTATTCCTAGCATTATTGTAGTTTCTGCTAATAAACACTTTAATGCTAAAAAGTATTTTTGTCTTTTTTACTAATAGTATAATTATATTAATTGCTTTTTAACACTGATAACTTAAAATAGCAATAAAAATCTTTATCAGTTTAAACACACAAACAACTCAACTTAAAATGTTATTCAACTAGACAGTAAAACTCTATGTCTTGCATTAATAAGAAGGGATGTCTACTTTTGAAATCTGTATTTGATAAGTTATGATCTGTCACCCACTTTTTTCTCCAGATCTAATACCCAAATGTTCTTTCACTACTTGACATTAAACACATTACTTTATAGGCAAAAGAAAAAATAAAAATAATTCAGTGTACACAATGCCTAACATTCAAAAAAGAACTAACATATCCTCACACTATTTCAAAACATTCAAGAAAAGGGAAAACTTCCAAGCTCTTTTTAAAGTCAATTTATTCAAATTCCAAAATCAGACAAAGACACTACAAAGAAAGAAAATGATAGGTCAATATTCATGAAAAATATAAATGCAAAAATCCTCAACAAAATATTAGCAAACTGGATCCAGCAATACATCAAAAAGCTCATATACCATTATCAACTGGAATTTATTCTGGGGATGCAAGGTTGAGGCAATATCTGCAAATCAATAAACGTGATAAACCACATAAACAAAATGAAGGATAGAAACCACATGACCATATCAATAAATGCAGAAAAAGCATTTGGTAAGATCCAGCACCCATTTATGATAAAAACTCTCATCAGAGTGGGAATAGAGGGAGCATACCTCAATGTAATAAAGGTCATATATGAGAAGCCCACAGTCAAGATCATACTCAATGGGCAAAAACAATAAACATTTCCTTAAGATTGGAAACAAGACAGGAATGTCTGCTTTTACCACTCATTCAACACAGTACTGAAAGTCCTACCCACAGAAATCAGACAAGCAGAAAAAAATAAAAGGCATCCAAACTGAAAAGAAGTAAAACTGACATTATTTGCGATGACATGATACTATATAGAGAGAACCCTAAAGATCCACCAAAAGAGTACTAGAACTGCTAAATAAATTCAGTAAAGTAGCAGATACAAAACAAATATCTAGAAATAAGTTGCATTTTTATACACCAATAATGAGCTATCAGAAAAACTAAGAAAACAATCCCATTTACAACTGCATAAAAAAAATAAAATACCTAGGAATAAATTTAACCAAGGAAGGAAAAGGCCTATACTCAAAAACCTGTTAGACACTGAAAAGAAATTGAAGAACATACAAATAAGTGGAAGCATATACCATGTTCAAGGATAGGAAGAATTAACATCATTAGAATGTTCATACTACAATTATAAAGGACACATGGACAAGAACAAGGGGGGTGGAAACAGGGGACGGAGGTGGGGAGGACTGGTGTGTTGGGCTGGGGTGGGGGAAAAGGCAGAAAACTGTACTTCAATGACAATAAAAAAAAATTTTTTTAAAGAATATTCGTCAACTTCAGTGTATAGCTTTTTGCCAAGACAGTTCATGCTTATGATTTTGTTTGCATATTAATTGTTTGCAATCCACCAAAGAGTTTTTGCTTTGCTTTATTTTTTTTAAGTAACATGATTGGAACCACTTCGCCCTCCTCCCATCTCTTCCCTGATCCTTCCTAAAGCTCAGAATATTGCCAAGCTAAATAAACACACTTATTAAATTAAAAAAAATGTTCGTACCACCCAAAGCAAACTATAGATGCAGTGCAATACCTATCAAGATACCAATGGTGTATTTCAGAGAACTGGAACAAATCTTCCAAAAATTTATATGAAACCACAAAGAGCCTGAATAGCCTCAGCCATCTTGAGGAAGAAGAACAAAGCTGGAGATATCAATCACACTCCCTGGTATCAAACTATACTATAAAACCATAGTAATCAAAACAGCAATGGTACTGGCATAAAAACAGACATACAGATCAATGAACAGAACAGAAAGCCCAGAAATAAGCCCACACCCTTACAGTCAATTAATATTTGAAAAAGGAGGCAAAAACATACAATGAAATAAAGATAGTCTATTCAAATAAATGATGTTGGAAAAATTGGACAGATATGTGCAAAAAAATGAACTACACCACTTCCTTTCACCATATACAAGAATAAATTCAAAATGTTTAGATTAAAGATTTAAATGTAATACCTGAAAGAATATAAGTGATACAAGAAAACATAGTAAGAGAAATGTTTGAAATTTTACTAACCTTATTTCTCATATATCTTCTCAGGCAAGGAAAACAAACAAAAAAATAAACATGGGACTACATTAGACTAAAAAGGTTGGGTTTTTTTTTTAAGATTTTATTTATTTATTTATTTTTAGAGAGGGAAGGGAAGGAGAAAGAGAGAGAGACAGAAACATCAATGTGCGGTTGCTGGGAGCTGTGGCCTGCAACCCAGGCATGTGCCCTGACTGGGAATCGAACCTGCAATGCTTTGGTTCACAGCCCTCACTCAATCCACTGAGCTATGCCAACCAGGGCTAGACTAAAAAGGTTTTGAATAGGAAAGGAAACCATAAAAAAAAAATGAAAGGAAAACCCACTGAATGGAAGAACATATTTTCCTATGATACATCCAATAAAAGGTTAATGTCCAAAATTTATAAAGAACTCATATAACTCAACACCAAAAAACAAACAATCCAATTAAAAAGGGGTAAAGGATCTGAATAAACACTTCTCCAAAGGACATAAAGATAGCTAATAGCTGCAAAAAAGTGTTCAATGTCACTAATTGTTAGAGAAATGCCAACTAAAACTGCGATGAGATATCAACTCACACCTGTCAGAAATCAACAAACAAGTGTTGGTGAGGATGTGGAGAAAAAGGAACACTTTTGAACTGTTGGTGAGAATGCAGATTGCAGCAGCCACTGTGGGAAGCAGTATCAAGTTTCCTTAAAAAAAAAATAAAACAAGAACTGCCTTATGATCCAGTGACTCAATTTCTGGGAATATAACCAAAGAAATCCTAAATACTATTTTCAGAAGGATATATGCACCCCTATGTTCACTCCAATATTATTTACAGTAGCCAAGATTTTGAAGCAGCCCAAGTGTCCATCAGCAGATGAGCAGATAAAAATGCTGTGGTACATATACACAATGGAATACTCCTAGGCCATAAAAAAGAAGGAAATCTTACCCTTTGCAACATCATGGATGGACCTGGAAATTATCATGGTAAGTGAAATTAGCCAGTCAGAGAAAGACAAGTAACATATGATTTCAATTATATGTGGGATCTAATGAACAACAACAACAACAACAACAAACTTAACAAAATAGAAACAGACTTATAGAGAACAGACTGATAGCTGTCAGCAGGGAGGGGAGTCGAGGGGCTGGGTGAAAAAGGCAAAGGGACTAAAGAAAAAAACTCTTAGACATGGACAATGGTATGGTGGTTACCAAAGGGAAAGGGGGTGTTGAGAGCAGGTAGAAAAGGGTATGGGGGAATAACTGATGACAGAAGGAAACTTGACTTGAGGTGGTGAACACACAGTACAATATACAGATGAGGTATTATAGAATTGTCCACCTGAAACCTATATAATTTTATTAACCAATGTCACCCCAATAAATTCAATAAAAAGAAAAAAAGAATCAAGCCAGGTTAAAGCTGTCCAAATATATGGTATCAACTCACAGAGTAACCCTATTTTGATATGACACTTTCCTTAATCTTGTCATTCTGAATCAGGAGTAGGTATTATAAGGCCAGACACTTTTTAATTTTCTATTTCTTAACTACATGATTTTTATAACACTTTTGCTCACATTAAGGAGAAGTCAAATCTGAATTGAGTAAATGGAATAACAGGATTTATGTCAGGAAAATACTCAAATGGGAGTATTGTCCCAAGGCACTTCCTCCTCCCTTTACTCAAAGATATTGTATACCTTCAAATACTCACCTGCCTGGGGGAGGGGTGGATCTCCCCTGTCTTGCTATTTCACTTAGAACTCCTTTTTTTGAGGTTCACCTTCATTAAAATTATACATTTCATACATATCTATCTGCTGAAGTTTTAGTATTCTGGAACTAAAACAGCACTTTCAGAGACTTGTGTTGATTAATTGAGAGTATGGAATAGAACTAGACAAGTTTTTAAATTTTTTTCAATAAATCTGCTTTAGTGTTACAAAAACAGAAACTGCTAACATTTAAGAGGAATATCAAAAACAGCCAAAGGCTTACAGCAACTAAGTGAATGCATACTCAAGAAGCCAGTTTCAAGAGGGTAAAATAGTTTTGCCGTGTTTTTACTACTCTTTCCACGCAGCCTTGGTGGTGCAACAGTGCTCTTGGTCTGAAGTGCCAGCATCCCTGTCATCAGTTCCCTCTTTCAAATGGATCACATGGAGCAAACTTTATTTTCAAATTATTTTGTAAAGCTAAAGGCTACCTGAAGGACTGGCTTCTATTTCCCCTAATATGGATTTCAGATGGGAAAAGAGGTGAGAACTACTCATGAAATCTGCATGAAGATGGCAAAATTACATACCTACAGCTGCTTGGGCAGATATTATAGATATAAATATACTCGTATAATAGACCATCTAATGCTGGGGCAAATTTCTGTGGGAAATTAAGGCCCAAAGAACTGTATGTGTATACGGGGAACTAAAAAAGACACACACATACAAAGATAAGACCTCAGAAGGCTTTAATCTTTCACATTGGGCTGATCACTATGCTCAGAGCAATACTAGTTTTATAAAAAAAAAAAGCTTCAATAATAGAGAGGCAATCTTCAAAAAATAGGATAGGGAAACTTACAGTCAAGATAGTAGCATAGGTAGATGTGGCTCACCTCCTCCACAACCACATCAAAGTTACAATTAAAATATAGAATAGCCATTACTCACGACATCAGATATTGAGTTGAATGGAAGTCTGACAACTATGGAA